GTATTGCCACACCTGCTCCAGCTAATCAACCTCTTCCCAAGTCCCTGATTGGCTGAATCAGATGTAGTGGGGTTAAGTAAGGGGTGGGGCAGCTTACTGGATACAAGTTGGAACTAAACTCTGCAGGAACATGCGGTGTGTCCCAATTCAGTGGCTGGATCCTTCAAAGGACACGCCTTTGTAGACCGCGTCCTTTGAAGGATCCAGCCCCTGAATTGGGACACACTTCATGTTCCTGCAGAGTTTAGTTCAAACCTGTATCCAGTAAGCTGCTTAGACCCGCAAAGCCCGAACCGTAATGAGACGGTCTGCTCTACGGCTGATTTCCTGTTTGTGTCACAGCACGGCAACGAAGGACACATTTATCAGCCGCATATGAAGGAGCCTTTGAAATGGGACAGTCTAGCCGCACCGCTGTGACACATTCAGCCTCCAAATGCAGCCTCCAAAGGATGCAGCCGCTCAAATGGGACGCAGCTATAGGTCCTCAAAAGAGCCTGAATCCCAACAGTTAAATTATGCAGAAATTTTGGAAAATCAGCAGAATTCCCCTTTAAGGGCCACAGAGTCAGGCCCTGTTCCAGTCACGTCTTCAAATGAGAAAAGTGTGAAGTGTAATGTTTGTGCTGGGCCAAGGGCCGAAAAGACAAAACAGCGTCTCTTTGGCTTTGTTCCAGTACATGTGGAGAAAACTGCTCTTTAAATAATATGTAAAGAAACCGTTGGATGAGGCACTTTGTCCTTGAAAGACATTCTTCACACTGGTGGTGTCTAAATCTATGTTACGTCATCTACGTTGCCGTCAGTGACTATATATGGTGTGATGGGTCATTGTTTTTTCACACTTTATTTCATCACACTACATAATATGTTTTAGTACTAAAAGTAATTAATGTGATGATTTTTAAAGAAAAATAATAAAACTACAAGAAAAAACTGTGTGTGGTCATCTCTGTTCCACAGGCCCCACTTTGGTCAGACCAATTGTTGGTTTGATCTTCTAAGTGAACATAAGTAAACACATCCTTTACAGAGAACACATCTGCACAGGTTAATTCTCAATTACTGTTTGTTTGCTGAATTTATTATATTGGTGAAAAAAACACAGAATGATGTCAAAGCAAAAGTTGTGAATTTTATGGTACATGTTTAATTTTTTTTTCAATCCGTAAATTCTATAGGTAAATAGAAGCTGTGCATAAAAATCTGCAGGAAAATGACACGTTTAAGTGCGTCCTTGTAGAGGATGTGTTACTTATTTTTGCTTAGAAAAACAACAAAACGTCATTTGACCGAACGACTGTTGGAGCAAGAGTGTGTGCTGCTCTTCACCCTCATTAACTGGTAGTGCTGTTGAAGACCTGTCTCATCTATGATGTCTGTTACTTGATTAAACAAAAAAAAACAAAAAAAAACAACATATATATATATATATACATATATATATATATATATATATATATATATATATATATATATATATATATATATATATTACACGGTTCACTGTTCAACGTCAGTGCAGCAGCGTAAAATTTTGAGTGTCTATTCAACATAAATGATGAACTAACCTAACTTTGTGTAAATAGACCATAATATAGAAATATGTACACATATGCAGTTGTGACTGACGTGTCTTTTTTCTGAATTTATACAAACACATTTCATTTTATAGTAAATTAGTTTTGTCTAGTTTATGTTTATGAACAGAGACCTACAGATGCAGTTTAGTAAAGGAAACCTCACCTGTGAACCTGAGTTTAAAGCAAGTTTTTATTAGACTTAAACATTGCAAATAAATCTTAAACTGAAACTTTGCTTGTTTGCAAAAAGTGATTTCAGAGCCACTCAGTTCTACCTGATGGAAACTGTTCGCCTTCAGTGTTTTGTGCTTATGATAATTTTAATAGACATCAGCGTCACTAATTAATGACATTCTATTAAAAGACTGGTTTACCAAGAGAGACACTGGAGTATTTTCACCTAAAATGAGTTAATAAAGCTGAGTCTTGTTACAAAAATGATAATAATAGAACATTAGAGCCATAATTAAACTTTTACTTTTGATACTTAAGTACATTTGAAGGCGAATACTTTTGTACTTTTACTCAAGGGAGGAACTTCTACTTTTACTGGAGTAATATTTTACCTTGGGTATCTCTACTTTAACTCAATCACATGGTTTGTGTACTTTGTCCACTGATTAGTCTCCAAAATTAGCAGTTCTATCGTTTGTAACTCCAGCTGAGTAGCAGGCTGCGTCCCAATATCAGTCCGTGTGTCTTACCTTTAACTTTTAGCTGGTACGCAGAATGTGGGCTGCCCACGGTTCTGGCCAGATAGCTATGCACTACCTAGGCCTCCTATCTAGAACACAGGTACGCGTATGGGAACGGGGCCACAGTCATTCCGATGCAAATCGCTTCGCCGACGTCGGCTGAAATGATGTCAGGCGACGAGATTCCGCCGACGCGATTGGCCGACGCGCGCGTCCATGAAGCCGCCCCGTCAGGCTCTTCCGCCGCGGTGTCAGCTCCGCTCCTCCTCCGGCGTCCCGTAACGAGTCAGTTCGCATCCTGGAAGCTGAACCGAACGTCAATCTGCGGGACTCGCATCATCACAGGTAGACACGCATTTATACCCGCGCTTTTAACGCTCAGCGGGCTGTTTTGTCCGAGTATCAGACTCTCGAGGCGCCGTTCTCCGCTTCAGCGCCTCAGGTTAGCTCGTTAGCATTGCAGCTAACTAGAAAACCGTTGAGCTGAACGTTGTTAGCTGGTTAGCCTCCTCACTCGGGTACGAGCATCACCTACAGGAGCGCTGAGCTGAGCGGCCAGTGTCTGGCTTTATTTACTGCCTGCGTAGGCTGGGACGTGGTCAATCGTTGGAATGAGGTGTTCTGTGTGGTTTAAACATCTAACGTTATTCTCAGATTTGCCCTTGTCTGGGTGACTGAAAGTGACTCGGCCTCGGTTCATCCACAGCTACCTTAGCTCGGTTAGCACGCCAGCTAACTGGTTTACGCTGCCCTCTGGTTTATTTCCATCTAAGCCGCCCTCGGAGCGCTGTTACAGCGATCCAGCCGTCTTTATTTAGTTTAACCAAACATGGATTAGACTCGCCTGTTTGGTAGCTGAGTTTGTTCTCTTATTGTCGTGAACGCGCAGACAAATCAGACGTGCAGAACTGCCAAGGTCGGTCTGTCAGCGTTCCTTGACACCAAAATGTCTGTAATCTGTGCTGTAATAGAAAAAGGAGGGAATATTTTAATACGTTCATAAAGATGAAAGTGGTCGAAGTTTTTAAATGTCGGTGTTGAGAAGAAACGAGGCTCGTTTCTGTCACAGTCACATCATCAGACTCTCGTCTACAGGTTGAAGTCAGGTGTGTGGGAGGCTGACAGGAGTTCTCCTGTAGTTTGGGGCATCTTTCGTTTGCTTTGGCTCGACTTTGGTTCTTGTTTGACTTAAACTGATAAATCTGGCTCGGCAAACTTGCAGGGTGTTAAGAGATTTAATAATAATAATAATAATAATAATAATAATTATTATTATTATTATTATTATTATTATTATTATTATATGTGTAGTGTTCCTCCTGAATCTCCTGTCTTCTGAATGGCTGTTTCATGATTCCTCTTCCTCGTTTATCCAAACATAATGGTCTTTTCCAATGAATTGGTCCTTTTTTAGAATATGTCTGAAGTAAGAGCTTCCGTGTGGTGGTCTGGGCTTCGAGTGAGCGGTGAAGCTTGATTTGGTCTGGGGTCCATTCGTTTGTTTTCTTTGCCGATCAATATTTTTCCTGTCATTCTTGTTTATTGTGCACTTTTCACATCGGTAAAGAACCACAGAGAAGACCACAGTTCTGATCTTTCTTTGTAGAGTCAAATCGTTGCATTTGAAGCTCCTTCATCCCAGCTTTATAAATTCTTTTTTTAAAAAAAGTTCAAAAGTAGTTTTTTCCCACTAGTACCATTTTCCATCAGCCAGAGGCCGAATATGTAGTTTACAGCGAAACTTATGGTCCTTTAGGGTGGATTTGAAGCCAGTTTTGTTGTAACCATGAACTACAGAATGCACGTATTTGATTATTGACTCAATAATAATAGTAACCACCCAGTTAAACCACCTAGAATGTGTACTGTTTAAACCAGGGGTGTCCAAAGTCCGGCCCCAGGGCCAAATGCGGCCCACGGACAGATTTTAATTGGCCCCAGGCTTCTGTTTTACAGCGTGTTATAAGTGGCCCGCCAGCCAGTACATTGCAGTTCTTCCTTTTGCCTGACGGTGGCAGCTGACCAGGCCTGCAGCTTCATTTAGTAAACAACATTTAGTCAATTCGACAGACATGAAGCTCAAACTAAACACCGAAAACGATTTTGGCAGGATGGAAAACTTCTTAACCCTTTAAGGTCGAACAAAAACGTGGCTGCACTGCATTTATTTGATATGTGAAGGACATTACCTAACAAAACCAAAATATTCACAGATTTTTGTTTAGTTTGCCTCACAAATTATATTTTGAACAAGTAAACACTTGAATAGGAACAAGATTAATACATTAGACCAGTTGTATTGTTACTCTGAAATAATTACATTTTATTATCATAAGTGATTCTCAATTTCCAGCTGTTCTGAATGAGCAATCCAGCAATGAAAGAAACCTTGTGCATCTTTTATACAGTGATGGGAAACATGGTAGCTCACAGAAAGCTCAGATTGTATGTGCTGATATTTTGAAAACTTCATATTTTGAACCATTTGTGATTAATATCTCAGGTATTTTGAGACAGTACAGTCTGGCCCACTTTGAACAGAGTTTGGACACCCCTGGTTTAAACAGTCATTTGTTATATTAAACAATCAGCCAACTCCAGTTCTCTAGAGGGCGTAAACGTCTGAAACAAGTGTGAAAAGAGCTCTTGAAACTTTGATTGTGTTACATAAAGGAGTGTCGGCCCTTTTGTCACCTCTGATCTTTGGTTTGACATGTTCACTTATCAGCTGACTGCATTGTGAGACACAATTACGGCGCTGGCGGTTCAGTAATGTAGATCTGCTCCTTACAAAGAGGTACTATTAAATCTGCATTACTGGGGTGCAGCTATGTGGAGTTGGAGGCAGCTTTAGGGAGGTGAGTATCGACACGCATTCCTGGTGATGGTGTGTTGCTACTCACGCGTGTGTGTGTGTGTGTGTGTGTGTGTGTGCGCACACACCCTCATGCATACCACGATGGAGTACATACATGTCTTTGTTAGTGCTCTGATTTCTTATGCCCTAACTTGCTGATTCATGCTCTGCCTTGTCAGGTGTACACAACGTCTCCCGAGCTCGATTTGTGCAACATCACATTTGTGTGTAAAACTGATGTAAGATGCAGTGGGTGCTATTCAAGAGTCAGTATCGGCGTATTCAAGAGTTTGAACCAAGTGTTGGTTTGTTTGAAATACAACCCCATTTCCAAAAAAGTTGGGAAATGTGGAAAATGTAAATAAAAACAAAATTCAGTGATGCGCAGATCATTCAAATCCTATATTTCACTGAGAATAGTACAAAGACAACAAATCAAATGTTGAAACTGAGAAATTGTATTGCTTTTTGAAAAATATATGCCCATTTTAAATTTGATGCCAGCAACATGTTCCAAAAAAGTTTGGACGGGTCTGTTTACCACTGTGTTTCATCACCTCTTCTTTTAACATCACTCTGTAAGCGTTTGGGAACTGAGGAGGCGCTGCTGTAGTTTTGAGAGTGAAGTGTTTCTCGTTCTTGCTTAACATAGGATTTCAGTTGCTCATCAGTTCAGGGTCTCCTTTGTCGTATTTTTTATTTCATAATGTGCCAAATGTTTTCAGTGGTGACAGGTCTGGACTGCAGGCAGGTCGGTTTAGTGCCTGGACTCTTTTAATACGGAGCAATGCTGCTGTAATACATGCAGAATGTGGTTTTGCATCAACTTGCTGAAATAATCAAGGCCTTCCCTGAAAAAGACGTCGTCTGGATGGCAGCATATGTTGCCAAAACATGTATATATCATTCAGCATTAATGGCGCCTTCACAGATGTGCACGTCAAATGTTTCAAATGTTGATTCGTCAGACCACAGGACACTTTTCCACTTCCCCTCAGCCCATTTTAAATGAGCTCAGGCCCAGAGAAGGTGGCAGCGTTTCTGGATCCTGTTTATGTACAGTTTCTTCTTTGCATTTTAGAGTTTTAATTTGCATTTGTGGATGCAGTGATGAACTGTTTTCACAGACAGTGGTTTTCAGAAGTGTTTCTGAGCCCATGCAGTGATTTCCACTACAGAATCATGTCTGTTTTTAATGCAGTGCCGTCTGAGGGTCCAAAGATCACAGCCAGCAAATACTGGTTTTTGGCCTCGTCTCTTACATACAGAGATTTCTCCAGATTCTCTGAGTCTTTTAATGATATTATGAACCGTAGATGATGAAAAGCAGAAGTTCTTTGCTGTTTTACGTTGAGAAACGTTCTTCTTGAACTGTTGCACTATTTGATGGTGCAGTCTTTCACAGAGTGGTGAACCCCTCCTCATCTTTACTTCTGAAAGACTCCGCCTCTCTGAGACACTCTTTAATACCCAATCATGTTTCTGACCTGTTGTCAATCAACCACCATGTTTTTTTTTTTGGTTTGCTTTTAGCATTACACAATTTTACCAGCCTTTTGTTGCCCCCGTCCCAACTTTTTTGGAATGTGTTGTTGGGATCAAATTCAAAATGGGCAAATATTTTTCAACAAACAATAAAATTTCTCAGTTTCAACATTTGATTTGTTGTCTTTGAAACATTTTCAATGAAATACAGGGTTTAAATGATTTGCTCATCATTGCATTTTGTTTTTATTTACATTTTGCACAGCATCCCAACATTTTTTGGAAATGGGGTTGTATTTTGGGTTTTCTACATGTTTGATGTTTGATTGGTTGAGAGTGCAGTCACAGCCCTGACCTTTATCCCCGTGCAGGCTTTGCTGTCATGACCTATTACCTACTTGTCTTACTGTACACAGTTCATGCACAAAGTACAGCAGACAAATGTCAGTCTTTACTTTCTTGAATTGCCTTTGGTTGTATTCTGTGATACGGCTGACGTTCAGACCTAAACCTTGACCCTTACACGTCATTAAGTTGCTGTTTGTGTCAGAGACACTGAAGCAGGTTAGACTGCCTCTCAAATTCCACCTCACCCTATAGATTTTGTTGAATGTTGTCAAGTAAGATAGTAAAAGAAGCGACCAGTCCTGTATCACCAGCAAGTGTTTTATTTACACTCTCACACATTCTCATGCATACACACACACAATGATCACTCACTAGCCACGCTTACATGCAGCCTAATAATCCATTAATAATCTGACTGATAGCTCAATCGGAATAGAATACGTCCAAGTATGCACTTCAATCGGAATAGTCTAATCCAATTGAGGCCATTCGGAATACAGTTTCTATCCGACTGATCGAGGTGGGTAATCCTGTAAATAATCCGTTAAATAGAAGAATAATATCCCTGTAAACGCCTGTATCTGATTACATTCCCTATCGGAAAGTTTAAGTCCGTTCTGATCATGTTCGTCGCGTCATAGTGAGAGTTTATACCGTTCAACATGGCGGAGCAGAAACTGGTTTGCAGAGGAGACGAAGTTTCTGCTCTGATCTTTAAAAGACGGCGGTGGGACGGACGTCCAGCTTATGTGTCTCAGAACACGACGTCTTCCCCTCGGCCTTCTTTAATAAGGACATGTGAAGGACGTTTTCCTAAATCTGACATCATTTTAAAGCTATTAAAAACACAAGCGCTGCCCACTGCTGCTCGTCTCACTCTGACTGGACTCACGTGATGCTGGTTGTCATAGTAACGTCTACACTAAGTGGTTCTCCACGCATGCGCATCATTTTGGATCGGATTACTTGTAGCGAGCATGTAGACGAAGATTTTCCATCAGATTGGTGAAGAGAGTGAGAATAAACACCTCAGTCTGAATCTGCAGTCGGAATGTGTTCAGTCGGATTGGAACAAACCTTTGCATGTAAACACAGACAGTGTGGCTCAGAATTCTGTATGTGAATGTTTCACTACCGCAGTCCGTTTTTGGAGAACTGGAAGTGTGCTTAACATACAGTTCCGTCAGTTTTATTACCAAATCAGATGGCCACACAGATGAGACTGAGCACAGCTTAAGCTTCTACTTTGAGCCAGGCATTTCACACGGTGTGCGCTGCCAATCAGATTCGCTCCGCTCTGTCCTGCGGTGTGTTTGTAGAAGTTGCAGGCGTCATTATGGAATTAATGGCAGCTGAAATTGAGACCGGATTCAGGCTCTGTGTTTGTGCCGTCTAATCCATTGTCATTTTTGCATGGTTCATCATTAGAAGCCACCTGTCCTGCCAAGCGGGCCCCTATTCAGAATGACGCTGCCTGCTGCTTGTGTTGAGACCCACAGACAATACAGCACCTGCGCACTGCTGCGGCTGGGTGTATTTACCAGGCGAGACCCAGTGTGCACAGTTGTCATTTGCCAAAATGTTTGGATTCACTCTGTCATCTCTGATTGAGATCCATACAGAGCTCTGCTCGCTGGACTCACCGAACTCCTGCAAACCACCTGATTGTAAGTTACTCAGTAGACAAAGCTTTGCTTCATGGTTGAGGTACGGCTGAAAGATTAATCGTTTTTTATAGCGAAATCGCGATTTATGTCGGTGCAATTTTTAAATCACAAGAGCTGCAATTCTTTTTTCAATTGTAGCCTACACTTTAAAAAAAGATGGTTCTTCGGTAAAGACAGTCATTTGTCAACCGTGAATGCTCAAAGACCCATTTCCATGCTTAAGTGGTTCATCGCATGGTGAAATCATTCTTCAGATTGAAGGAAAATGTGTTGTGTATGGTTCTATACAACACCAAAAAAAGGTTCTGCTATTGTTACAATGTCAAGCTTATAACAATAGAAGATCGTTTTGGTGGTGTTTAGAACTCTTTTCACAAATGTGCTCTTTAGAACCACATACAACGTCCATAAATGTAGAGAAACGTTTCATCATGCAAAGAACTTGTTAAGCATGCAAGTGAGTCATGGAGTGTTTATTAGCAGAAATGTTGTTTTAAGTTCTAAGAGGGGAAATTGAACCTAATAAGAGTTTGGGAAATACCACAACTTGCTTGCAGTTTGGCTCACTGTGTTCAGGGGTCGAGCCACAAGACAAAAAGGTGAATATTCTGGTCTACTTGGCCAAATGAAATCAGGCCTGAATCTTAATTTATCAAAAAAATCGCAATTTAAATTGTAGTTGCAATATTAGTAGGAGAAATCGCAATTAGATATTTTCCCCAAATGGTTCAGGCCTAGGTTGAGGTAGAAATTAATCTGGAAAAAACAGTTCAACACCGTATGAAAAAACATAATTAACATTAAAGTTAGAGTACAGTTAGGGCCGAAAGATTAATCGTTGCAATTTAAGAGCTGCAACATTTTAAAAATTATAGCCTACATTATTAAAATGCTGTCTAGTTTAAGTGGGGAATTTTAACTAATAACAGAGCTGGTGAACTTTCTGTAGATGAGTTGGATCAATCCACCAAACCTCCATGTGTTGTGACATCACAACAACAACTCACTGTCTGTCTGGCTCACTACATTCAGGTGTCAAACCTCTTCTTGGCAAAAAGGCCAGAACCTTGAGCTTGAAACTTCGCAATTTGATTTTTGATTTTCCTCAAATCGTTCAGCCCTATGTATGATAGGCCTCTCCTAAGAGTCTCTCATTTGCTCTCATTTATGCTTTCGTGGAAACCACTGTCAGTGAGCAAAACTGGGTTTCTGGGTAGTCTCCGCCTCAGAGGCTCCGCCCACCTGGAAACAAGAGTGTCTGAAATCTTTGGCCACAGCTATCGGGATGTTGTCAGCTGCGTTCTGGCTGTCCGCACATCCGTGGATAGGCAATTCCGAGCAGTGTTTATCATTCAGACAGAAACCACAGTTTTGTTTTTTCAGCTAAATTCTATTCAGAATTCAGAACATCGTGATGAAAAATGACGAGTCAGAACTCTGAGCTGTGATTGGTCGCTTGAGATGTTAGTCAAATGCCTCTTCCTGACAAGGTAGGCGGTTC